ACACATTACAATGTTAGTATGGACTTTACTCAGCCACTTATCTAATGGAAAATAAACATGAAAAAATCTCTTACTGTTACATTAAACTCTTTAAATTTCAACTATGGACTTGACTTGGCCACATATCTAATGAAAAAAATATACTCTTTCGTTTTGGGCATTAAACACATTAAGTATGGAAGACTCCCAAATTTATCTTATGAAAAATAAACGACTCTCTGTTGGACAATTACAAACATTAATTATGGACTTGACTTGGCCACATATTTAATGGAAAAAACAGACTCATTCGTTTTGGACATTAAACACATTAAGTATGGACTTGACCCCCAAATTAATCTTATGAAAAATAAAGACTCTTTTTGGACAAATAAAAACTTTAATTATGGAATTGACTTGGACACATATCTAATGGAAAAAACAGACTCATTCGTTTTGGACATAAAACACATTAAGTATGGACTTGACTCCCAAATTAATCTTATGAAAAATAAAGACTCTGTTGAACACTTAAAAACCTTAATTATGGAATTGACTTGGACACATATCTAATGGAAGAAAAGCTCTATGCTACTGCCTATTTAGTTTGATTATGTAGGGAAATAGATGAAAAAATAACAATTTTGCTTCCATTCAGACAAAATGCATTGGTTCTTAGAACATATTTAAACTAATATAATTGAGAAATAATTCATGGAAGCCATAGAATTATTCTAATATGACGTGCTTCTTTCGCTTTGTAAACAACACTTTGGTAAAATTCTTGATATATCTATACTTAGCGCAGACTCTGTGGTGTACATAATAATGGCTGTTCAGTTACAATATATTTCCCACGTAAATCCACATGTATTGAAACCTATTTGCAAACCCTTTGCCGATTTCATTGTTTTAAAAATTGCAATTAAAAAAAGACAAAATCACTTTTATTCTTATTCGGATGCATAATAAAAAGAAGTAATGCACAAGACCTCGGAAAAACCAACAAATCAAAATTAAAATAAAATTCCGCGAAAGTCTATTAATGTTTTTGGCTCATTTAAGTCATTTCAAAACATGACGTCATACAAATAAAAACGCTAGAGTCGAAAGTTTTCTGTTACCTAAACCATTGAAATGTTGTTTACTTTTGTATTAAGATTGATTATCAAGGTAGGTTTTGTTTGATTTTCTATTCTATTGCATTATTCTCATATTTACTTATTTCGGCAAGTCAATATGGCGGCTCCTTAGTTACGAAATGTCAACTTTGGATTTGACGGTAGCTTACGAGAAAAATATGTAAATCAAAATGACAATTGTGGATTTTAAGAATGAAACAGATTTTTATTTTAGCGGTTGTTCACGAAATAATCCATGCAAGCAAAGGATTTATTAGAATGTTTGAGCTTTATCTAACCAGGAGTAAAAAAGAACAGCCACAAACACAGCTTTACCCACCTTCGCTTCAGTTTTTTTAATGATAGTATTTGTCCTATTAGAATCGAAATAATTCATGGAAGCCATAGATTGTTGGAAATTTACACATGGCCTAGCTAACACTCAGGATAAAATTCGAATATCACAGCCCAGGCCATGTGTAAATTTCCAATAATCTATGGCTTCCATGAATTATTTCTGAATTTACACATGGCCTGGGCCGTGATATTCAAATTTTATCCTGAGTGTTAGCTAGGCCATGTGAAAATTTCCAACAATCTATGGCTTCCATGAATTATTTCGATTCTAATAGGACAAATACAATCATTAAAAAAACTGAAGCGAGGGTGGGTTTTCTGTGTGTTTGGCTGTTCATTTTTACTCCCCGTTAGATAAAGCTCAAACATTCTTATAAATGTGTAGCTTGCATGGATTATTTCTTGAGCAACCACTAGAAAAAAATTTGTTTTATTCTTTAATTCTCAAAGCCAACAATTGCCATTTTAATTTACATGTTTTTCTCGGAAGCTGCCGTTACTGAATGCAAAGTTGACATTTCGTAACTAAGGAGCCGTCATGTTGACTTGTTGAAATCAGTAAATATGCAAATAATGCAATACAAAAGAAAATTAAACGAAACCTACCTTGAAAATCAATTTTAATACAACAGTATACGACATTTGTATGACGTCATGTTTTGATATGTGCCAAAAACATTAATAGACTTTCGCAGAATTTTATTTTATTTTTATTTTGTTGATTTCTATGAGCTCTTGTGCATAACTTCTATTTATTATGACCCCCAAGGGTGACTGGGGAATAGAAGTATGGTCACCATTGGTCTTCCTCCGACCGGCAGTAAAACCCGTGCTAAAGTGGGGCGTCCGTTTTGGCTGTGCGGGATGTACAAATTTGCAGCCACGTCCGGTCAGAATGGGGACGTTAAATCCTATGCCTCGTGTAAAGAGAGTGCCACGCTCTTTGCACGTTAAGAACCCTTGCAACAACTCTTTGAGGGGTCCGTAGGTGACCTGTTGCAAGGCTAAATTTCTGTCCCTATCCAATATACCCTCATTTCCCGTGGTAGTCTAAATTTCTCCGACCTTAATCCCTTTATCTATTACAGAACCTACCTATTGTATTTATTGTGAACTTGTTCTCGTCCTGAATATGCATGAAATATTTGCCACTGGACGTTAAGCAACCAACAATCAATCAATCAATCTATTTATTATGCATCTGAATAAGAATAAAATTGATTTTGCCTTTTTTAATTGCAATTTTTCAAACAGTAAATTCGGCAAAGGGTTTGTAAATAGGTTTCAATACATGTGTTGTTTACAAAGGGAAAGAAGCATGTCATATTAGAATATAGGATTAACTACTGAGAACAGATTTCTGACACCTTATTGTTGAAAACATAACTTCAAATAGGTTTAATCTATGAAAAATTATTATCATTAAAGGAAACAGAACAAAAATAAGATCTAAAAAACAAATTTTACAAGTAATGGAAACTTTTTAGGAGAGTTATAAATGGGATACAGACAATGTGAAATTACCTTTACTGGATACAACTTTGTTATTTTCTTTTTGGACTCTTTTCAGGGCTTGTACAAATCTATAAAGCATTTTAAGTAGTGCCCAGTGCACTCCCGATTTTTTTTAAAATGTATTATCATAATTCATATATAGTAATGTAGTATTTGTGTTAAAAAGGGCGACTATCATTACTGAAGATTTTTCAAATTATTAAATTATCTTTCCTGAAGAAAAGTGATATGTCTTTTCAGAAGAAAGTTTATATATCTTGTTTAAAGTTTAAAACTTTAACTTTTAGTTATATTGAACATTTAAAAATTTGTAAATTTATGAAATGAGTCAACACAATGTAAAAAAAAAATATGTAAGTTTTGTTGTTAAAAATATACTTATTTTGATTTGAAAATCTTTCAAAAAGAAGATAGTTTATACAGAAACAGAGAGATTCAAGGGAAACTGGAAAATAAGTAGATTGGGCATTTCTTTAGAAAAAATACAGATAAAAGGTTATATATAAAAAAGAAGATGTGGTATAATTGCCAATGAGACAACTACCCACAAAAAGACCAAAATGACACAACATTAACAACTATAGGTCACCGTACGGCCTTCAACAATGAGCAAAGCCCATACCGCAAAGTCAGCTATATAGTCAGATATAGTTCATTTTGTGATTCTGACAAAAAGTATATGAATCATCAAACGAACAAAAAACAAGAGTGTAGACTTGAGTTGGATTTTCCAGGAATAAATAAATTAATATGCACTGTTAAATCGTATAATCTAATAAATTGCAGATACAGTATTGGAGTCCAAAATTGTGATGAATTAATAATATTCCTACCTTGGATAAATTACCACCCATGTTTTACCTAATTTATATCCTCTTAATCTCTAGATTTTAAGACTAAATTAAAACTGTAGCAGTAATTTCTAAGGGTCAGTCCAAAAGGGGAAACAAACAATATTTTAATTTTGGCCTTTGATCCATAGAGACAAAAATGTTACGACATCACTGAAAGAAGCCAAAGCAATCAACATTATTGTCGAGCCTTCAACTTTAGTCGAAAAAGCGAGACTAAGATAGTATCCAGAAGTAAAGTTTGCAAAAATAAAATTCCATTTTTTCTGTTTTTTACTTATAAATGGACTTAGTTTTTCTGCGGGGAAACATAACATTCACTCTATGGTTAAAGTTTTAAAAATTTTAATAACTTTCTTTAACTATTCTGGGTTTGTGCCAAACTTGGACAGAAGCTTGTTTATGATCATAAGATAGTATCCAGAAGTAAATTTTGTTGTAAAAAAATAAATCCATTTTTTTTACGTATTATACTTTTAAATGGACTTAGGTTTTCTGCCAGGAAACAACACATTCACTCTGTGGTTAAATGTTTTGAAAATTTAATAACTTTCTTATACTATTTTAAATTTGTACCAAACTTGGATAGATGCTTGTTTATGATCAAAAGCTAGTATCTAGAAAGCAAATTTTGTTAATATTTGGTACCTGTGTATCTGTATTTTACTTATAAATGGACTTAGTTTTTCTTCCAGTTAACAAAACATACAGTCTGCAAGTTTTTAAAACATTTATTCGATTCATAAACTATCCTGAAATTTTTACCAAACTTGGACAGAAGCTACTTACAATCAAAAGATAGTATCAAGAGGAAATTTTATTGATTGTTTTCCTCATTTTTGTTGAGCCTCGGAGTTACAGCAAAAGTAGGCGAGACACTGGGTTCCGCGGAACCCTTACACATTTTTAGTTCTACTGGCTTTCAAAATTGTAATGGCTTTCAAAATTTGGAATACAGGTTTGGCAGGGTTTTATCTATTGTCCATTAATGCCATATTCTGGCTTGATATAAATTATGAGCCTGGTACCTTTGATGTGTATTTAGCTTTAGTTTTCAGGTCCAGGTGAATTGATTTCTGCTCTCAGAGCCTTGGATGTGTTTAAAGTCAATTTCTCATTATCTCCAATATGCTATAATAGATTGACACATGATTGATATAAGTATATTTAATTTCAGAATTACTAAAGAAGAAAAAAATGGTGGAAACATCAAAATTATTTCTTCAAGATCTTGATTGGGCGATGAAGATGAAATCATCCGTCATTGACCCAATAACTGCAATGGATAGTCAATTGCAAGCGTCAGAATCTTTAGATAGTACATTGAAAAAATCAGTCACCGTTAACACCATCACTGCAATGGATAGTCAATTGCAAGCGTCAGAAACTTTAGATAGTACATTGAAAAAACCAGTCACTGTTAACACCATCACTGCAATGGATAGTCAATTGCAAGCGTCAGAAACTTTAGATAGTACATTGAAAAAACCAGTCACCGTTAACACCATCACTGCAATGGATAGTCAATTGCAAGCGTCAGAAACTTTAGATAGTACATTGAAAAAATCAGTCACCGTTAACACCATCACTGCAATGGATAGTCAATTGCAAGCGTCAGAATCTTTAGATAGTACATTGAAAAAACCAGTCACCGTTAACACCATCACTGCAATGGATAGTCAATTGCAAGCGTCAGAATCTTCCGAGAGTACATTGAAAAAATCAGTCACCGTTAACACCATCACTGCAATGGATAGTCAATTGCAAGCGTCAGAAACTTTAGATAGTACATTGAAAAAATCAGTCACTGTTAACACCATCCCTGCAATGGATAGTCAATTGCAAGCGTCAGAATCTTTAGATAGTACATTGAAAAAATCAGTCACCGTTAACACCATCACTGCAATGGATAGTCAATTGCAAGCATCAGAAACTTTAGATAGTACATTGAAAAAACCAGTCACCGTTAACACCATCACTGCAATGGATAGTCAATTGCAAGCGTCAGAATCTTTAGATAGTACATTGAAAAAATCAGTCACCGTTAACACCATCACTGCAATGGATAGTCAATTGCAAGCGTCAGAAACTTTAGATAGTACATTGAAAAAACCAGTCACCGTTAACACCATCACTGCAATGGATAGTCAATTGCAAGCGTCAGAATCATTAGATTGTACATTGAAAAAATCAGTCACCGTTAACACCATCACTGCAATGGATAGTCAATTGCAAGCGTCAGAATCTTTAGATAGTACATTGAAAAAATCAGTCACTGTTAACAGCATCACTTCAATGGATAGTCAATTGCAAGCGTCAGAGTCTTTAGATTGTACATTAAAAAAATCAGTCACCGTTAACACCATCACTGCAATGGATAGTCAATTGCAAGCGTCAGAATCTTTAGATAGTACATTGAAAAAATCAGTCACTGTTAACAGCATCACTTCAATGGATAGTCAATTGCAAGCGTCAGAAACTTTAGATAGTACATTGAAAAAAACAGTCACTGTTAACACCATCATTTCAATGGATATTAAATTGCAAGTGTCAGAAACTTTAGATAGTACATTGAAAAAATCAGTCACCGTTAACACCATCACTGCAATGGATAGTCCTGCGCCAGAAACTGCAGATAGTTCAAAGCTAGAATCTTTAGATAGTACATTGAAAAAATCAGTCACCGTTAACACCATCACTGCAATGGATAGTCAATTGCAAGCGTCAGAATCTTTAGATAGTACATTGAAAAAATCAGTCACCGTTAACACCATCACTGCAATGGATAGTCAATTGCAAGCGTCAGAAACTTTAGATAGTACATTGAAAAAAACAGTCACTGTTAACACCATCACTTCAATGGATAGTCAATTGCAAGTGTCAGAAACTTTAGATAGTACATTGAAAAAATCAGTCACCGTTAACACCATCACTGCAATGGATAGTCTTGCGCCAGATAGTTCAAAGGAGAAATCAGTCATTAACACATTCAATGCAAAGGATATTCAAACTACAGAACCTTCAAATAGTACAAAAGATCTGTCTGGCATGATTGAGTACAGAGATCCTGTATATATTTCATTGGATTCTGGATTGTTTGCAGTGCAAGAAATTAAGAAGGGAGATGAAGTTATTATATCAATTACCCCAGTAACCATAAAAACTGGCAATGATCAACAGACTGTAAATAAAGATGAAGTTATATATGTAGCTGAGCGCTTGGGGTGTTCAACTCAACAAGAAATGAACAGTACAATTCAACAAAAGTTGGACAGCCCCATTGAAATAACACAAGGAATCGATTTTGATGATGAAGACCTTGATGAGCAGCATGATAAAAATGATCCTGATTATGTCCCGTCTTCAGAAGAACAATTATCAGACAAATCCTTAGAAGATGAATTTATTCATAGTCTAAACAAGATACATAATGATGAGGATAGTGTTGCCAGAGACTAGTATGGAAGATGAACATGGGGAAGCATCTAACATCCTACATTGGCCTGCCTTGGAAAAAAAGTCACCTAACAGTATACAAGAAAACAAGATTATCAGAGATGTAAGCAACCCTGGCATTTATGTACGAAAGGTACAAAAAAGTAAAAAGGCAAGTAAGGCTCAAAAAAAAAGCTGAGAATGAAAGAGTATATGATAATTTTCACAGCTGTCTATTTTGTGGAGGTATGAGACAACACATAAGCTCACACATGTATGTGCACAAAAACATACCTAAAGTGAAAGAAATACTGGCAAAAGAAAAAAAAGATTTTTCAAAACTCCGAAAACAAGGTGACAATAAGCACAATAAAAAGGTGGTTGAAGAAGGAAAAGGGGAGCTTATTCTTTCAAGGAGACCAGAATCAAATGCTGTGGTATTTGATAGTAGTCAATATGGGCCGTGCATTAATTGTTATGAATGGTTACTGTTTAAAAACATGAAAAGACATTTAGAGGCCTGTACAATGCAAACTGTGACAATGAGTAGAAGACAGATTGTAATTATGTCTCAAGTGGAAGCAGGGGTTTTAAGCACTAAACCCTCAAATCTCATGCTCAATGAGGTTTTCCCAAGCATGATAATTGACAAAGTTTCAGAAGTTGCCAAAAAAGATGAAACTATTGTTGCATTAGGGGAAAGCTGGTTAAGACGATCTATTGATAATCGGGAAAAAAGACGCTATTATACCTCACAACATATGAGGCTGATGGGAAAGATGTTGCTTGAACTTCGCTCACTAGAAGGTGAAGATGAGAAAGACTTTGAATATTACCTTCATCCCAGTAGATTTGACATGCTTGTAGGAGCTGCTTTACAATGCTGTCTCCCATACATGGATGACATGAAGGAGCTAAAAGCTCCAAGTAATGGTATAAAGATAAAATATGATTTACGAAGAATGATAACCGCTAGATGGGCAATTACAGTTAAGAAAGATGTTCACTCATTATGTGCGAAAGAATTAAAGACTTGCCTAGAATTGATAAAAATGGAGTGGGGTGAGAGAATAACAAAGTTGGCTAGATCAGTACTGGTTAGAAGAAGTTTTCAAGTAAAGCATGATCTTCCGTCCCCAGAAGATATAAGAAAACTTACCAGCTATTTAATAGGATGTCTTAAGGCTGTGGACCTTAAGGAGGAAAACTACAGCAGAATTGTTCAGCTTTCCCAGACCAGAATACTCATGTATAACAAAAGAAGAAGTGGTGAAGTTGATGCCATCAGGTTAGTTTTTGAAAAAAAGAAAAAATAACTTGGGGGGGGGGGGGGGGGGGGGGGGGAATTTGTGTTTAGTATGAAAAATGGTTGAAGTCCGTACCCACTTTCTGATAAGTCCTACTTCAGGTAAATTTGTATTTATGATGCAGCTAGTATAGTTCAGGGATGCCAACCATAATGCATGCTTGGGGTTCGGGGTGTGACCTACATGTATATGTCACTGTTGATAGGCTGTCAAGTCCATTAGCTCTTAAAGATAAGTCCCATTTCAATTAATTATTTAAAGATGCTTAAATGATGCAGGCTGAAACCTTTATTTAATGAACCCTATTATTTTCAACACTGTTTGAGTTTTCATTTTATCGTACTTTTGTAAACCTGAAGATATAAAGGTGGTCTAACTAGTTGAGTTAGGGAAGATCTTCTTTTGCTCCATTGGTTAGAGCTCAGCCTTTAGATCCCGAGATTGAGGGTTCGAATCTCGCTGGTACCATCCATGGATTTTCACAACAGTACTCATAATAATTGTGTTGCATACCAATGCATTTACTGCATTTTATGGGGACTAAAACCATCGTTAAAAAACACAAATACATTTGGTGTAGAAAGTCCAACTGAAGAGAGTATTTCTACATGTTTTTGTTTGTTTAGTTTCTAAATCCGCAATTAAGAGACATTTATTTCAGGATTTCAAAAATAATGTACAATTTCTCTTACCTGTGTATACATGATACATTGTATAAGCTTATTATTACACTTGCATATATATATATGAAGAACTCGCCACAAAATGGTTTCATATGAAATAAAATTAAAAAAATTAAACCCTCCCACCTGCCCCATTTTTTTCAAAAATTTGGATGAAAATCTACTAATTAATTTTAGTTGGCCTTACCTACATGACCTAATGTATAGTAAAAAAAATGACATCAGATCATTAAAAAAAAATAATCCATAGCCCCCCACACCCTGAAAATCAAATGTTTGCTGGCTTATATAAAACAAACGTGTTTGGAAAATGTGCTTTTTTTTTAATTAAAACTAATTAATCATTCTTTTATAGTCTCAACAGTTATGCCAGCAAGACAACAGATATTGATGATTTGGACGAATCTCTTGTTGGAGAACTAAGCAAAGTGGAACTTCATCTTTTAAAAAGTCAGGACTTAATGAAAGTCCGGGGAAAGGTGAGGCCTCAGCTTAATTATTTTTTTCGAGTCTTCGCATTTAGTCGAAAAAGAGAGACTAAGTGATCCTTCATTCAGTCAGCGGCAGCGTCCACAAATATTCACTCTGTGGTTAAAGTTTTTGAAATTTTGATAACTTTCTTAAACTATGCTAGATTTCTACCAAACTTGGACAGAAGCTTGTTTATGATCATAAGATAGTATCCAGAAGAAAATTTTGTAAAAAATTTAATCTACTTTCTCTGTATTTTACTTTTAGATGGACTCAGATTTTCTGCCAGGAAACAACACATTTACTCTGTGGTTAACAATGGTTAAATTATGCTATTTTAAATTTGTACCAAACTTTGACAGAAGCTTGTTATGATCAAAATCTAGTATCTAGAAGGAAATTTTGTTAATATTTTGTACCTGTGTAACTGTATTTTACTTATAAAAAGACTTATATAAAAAAGAAGATGTGGTATGATTGCCAATGAGACAACTATCCACAAAAGACCAAAATGACACAAACATTAACAATTATAGGTGACCGTATGGCCTTCAACAATGAGCAAAGCCCATACCGCATAAAGTCAGCTATAAAAGGCCCCGATAAGACAATGTAAAACAATTCAAACGAGAAAACTAACGGCCTTATTTATGTAAAAAAAATGAACGAAAAACAAATATGTAACACATAAACAAACGACAACCACTGAATTACAGGCTCCTGACTTGGGACAGGCACATACATAAATAATTTTATTAGTTTTTCTTCCAGTTAACATTACATACAGTCTGCAGTTAAAGTTTTTTAAACATTCATTAGATTCATAAACTATCCTGGTTTTTATCCAAACTTGGACAAGCTTTTTACAATCACAAGATAGTTCAAGAGGAATATTTTTATTGATTTTTTTCCTCATTTTTGTTTAGCCTGCGATTTACAGCAAAAGTAGGCAAGACACTGGGTTCCACAGAACACTTAGGAATTTTTTTCCCAAAAAGTTCAGCAAAAAATGTTTTTCATGTTGATTGTTCCAAAAAGTTTATTTCCTTTAGGTATGCAACAGTAACATTTGTGGCAACACAAGGTCACTTAAATTGTTGATTACAGCTATCGTTCTAGTTTTTAGCTCACCTGGCTAAGGCCAGTAATGGCCATGTAAGCTTATTTAAATACTTAATATTTAAATTTGCTGTATTTATATTCACACCTGTCAGATTTCAGGTGCCCAGGTGAGTGATTCAGTGTTATTTGAAATTTGGTTTATCAAGTTAACATGACATTGTGATAATGATTTGAATGACCAAAGTTTATTCATCTCTTGAGAGTTTTATTTAATCAAAACAATATAAAAGTTGGAGTTATTGAAACTGTACTCACATTTATATATATGATATAAGAAACATTTCTATTTCTATAGGGTAACCGCCCAGTACCTGTATTGATACCTGCTGACCTAAAGGGACCACTTGATTTCCTAGCATCGAGTTCTGTTAGAAAACAAGCAGGAATTCCAGAAGCTAATTGCTACCTTTTTCCTGTTGTATCTAAAAAATCTGGTAATTATTATTAAAGACCAAATATTAAAGGGGCTTGTTGTTCCAGTCACCTGCAAAACCCTAGTTCGTAATTCACCTTTAGCAGTAAACTTTATTTAGGCTTATCTAGAAGAGAAAAAAAAAATTAACTAGCCTCATGACATTCATAGTCAAGCTGACTGTTCATACTGTTATGGCAAAATTCTATTGAGTGCTGAGGGGTTAAACTTAAGTACTGCTTTTTTTTACAAATTTCTTTTAAATCATTAGATTTATTATTGTAGTTTAAAAAAAATATTTCTTAAACGTTTCAGCCATTGGCCTTCTTCATTTCGCTTTATTTTTTTATCATCTATAGTCACCGTCAACTGAAATTCGTAGCGGTTATCTGTAAAAATAATCTGAACTATCAATCGCGTTCACTTGAGATATAGTTTTTCACATTCCATTCATAAATCACCAAAAAAACCCACTTCTGACCTACCTTTTAATTGATTGCACTGTGATAATCCTGACCTTCACATTTTACAAGATGATTTTGAATGGTGGAATCCACCATTGTTTTTACCGGAAGTGTTTCCGTGGAGTTCAATTTCATCAAATTTGCATAAAGCGCGGGAAACCTAATCACATCAATGAAAAGAACATTTTAGGAAAATGCGTAAGTGACGATTGTCATATGTAAACAAATGATCCTCATAGAAACCAAGATGACGGAATTACAATGGAAAACATTTTGAAAAATGTGAAGATCAGAATTATTACAGTGCGATCACTTAAAAGGTAGCTGCCCTGTTGACTTACTAAAATGAGTAAATATACGAATAATGCAACTGAAATTGAATAGAAAATAAAACACAAGAGTGCACACACTGAAATGTCTCGCCTTCTTTACTTATCATTGATATTATGTTGATAGTCCTCAATATAAAGCTTTATTACAACTGTCACATAAACTTATTATTAACCAAGTTAACTAAACATTGACCAATGAACCATGAAAATGAGGTCAAGGTCAGATGAACCATGCTAAGCAGGCATGTACAGCTAACATTTCTTCCATACAACAAATATAGTTGACCTATTGCTTTTAGTTTAAGAAAAACAGACCAAAACACAAAAACTTAACACTGAGCAATGAACCTTGAAAATGAGGTCAAGGTAAAATGAGGTCAAGGTAAAAAAAAAACTGTGTGACTGACAAATAGATCATAAAATATTTCCATACACCAAATATAGTTGAACTATTGCATATAGTATTAGAAAAAAAGACCAAAACTCAAAAACTTAACTTTGACCACTGAACCATGAAAATGAGGTCAAGGTCAGATGACACCTGCCCGCTAGACATGTACACCTTACAATCATTCCATACACCAACTATAGTAAGCCTATGGCATACAGTATAAGAAAAACAGACCAAAACACAAAAACTTAACTATAACCACTGAACCATGAAAATGAGGTCAAGGTCAGATGACACCTGCCAGTTGGACATGTACACCTCACAGTCCTTCCATACACCGAATATACTAGACCTATTGCTTATAGTATCTGAGATATGGACTTGACCACCAAAACTTAACCTTGTTCACTGATCCATGAAATGAGGTCGAGGTCAAGTGAAAACTGTCTGACGGGCATGAGGACCTTGCAAGGTACGCACATACCAAATAGAGTTATCCTATTACTTATAATAAGAGAGAATCTAACATTACAAAAAATCTGAACTTTTTTTTCAAGTAGTCACTGAACCATGAAAATGAGGTCAAGGACATTGGACAAGTGACTGACAGAAACTTCGTAACATGAGGCATCCATATACAAAGTATGAAGCATCCAGACCTTCCACCTTCTAAAATATAAAGCCGCCGCCGGATCACTATCCCTATGTCGAGCTTTCTGCGACAAAAGTCGCAGGCTCGACAAAAACCCTACCTCAAAAATCAGTTTTAATACAACATCATACAAATTCCGATGGTTCACGTAAAAGAAAACTTTCCACTTAAGCGTTTTTATTTGTATGATGTCATGTTTTGAAATGACTTAAATGTGCCAAAAAGATAAAGGGACTTTCGCGGAATGTTACTTAATTTTTATTTTCTTGATTTCTCCGACCCCTTGTGCATGACTTCTTTTTACTTTGCATACGAATAAGAATTAAAGTTATTTTGTCTTTTTTTAATTGCACTTTTTAAAACAATAAAATTGGCAAAGGGTCTGCAAATAGGGTCCAATACATGTAGATTTACATGGGAAGTATATTGTAACAGCCATTATTATGTATATCTCTGAGTCTGGGCTAAGTATATTTTATCAAGAATTTTATCACAGTGTTGTTTACAAAGCTAAAGAAGCATGTCATAATAAAATTAGTTTTTATTTAATTTACTTTAAAGTAATTCAGTTTTTATGTTTATTCCAAATGGTCTGGTTGTATTCAATCTTTCCATCCATCATGCTTCAATATGTCTCCTATAATTTGTAGATCTTTCATAAATTTGTTCCAGGACAGTCATGTCCTGTTGGCAGTGGTCTTTTTCAATAAAATGTTCTGCCACTACTTATCCCTGTTATGCTTAATGTCAGCTAAATATTCCTTGATCCTATTATTTAAAGTCCTTTTGGTTTCTCCTATATAAACATGACAGTCGCATTTTTTACAGTGTAATCATTAGATTTAGCCAAAATCTGACAATGTAAAAATGTTCAGTATACTGGTATACAAATTTTCGTGAAAATCTGTTGGCGTTTATTGGAGTTACTTCCCTATTTCACAAATTTTTGACATTTTCCATGTTATAAAATAAAAACTTGAATGCCTACAAAAGTATCAAACCAAAATTAGCACAATTGTTCCCCAAGGTATCCTCAACAAAAGTACTGTGGGGATTTTTGATCTGATGAAAAACATGACCACCATTACTAAAAATATAACTTGGGAGCCAAAAATAAAGTTTTGCTCATTATTTCATACTCTATTGTATAGAATTAAACATGAAAGGTATTTAAATGTGAAATTCTAATATGACGTCCTTATTACACTTTGTAAACAAAGCCGTGTTCTAATGAGCACAAACAATATGTTTGACACATGCGCACGGACTTACTGTTTATATTAACGTTATTTCCATCGTTATCCTTTTAAATATTTAAATTTAAGAACTTTTATTATATATTTTTATCAAACAACATATATTTGCTCTGCTCGTAGTTTTTAACATATCAAATATGAAATGTAATATACAGACTCCTCGGGGAGGACACGGGAACAGCCAAACATTCTTACGGTATTTTCATACGCTTCGACCTTTAAATATATTGTATTTGTCATATTAGAATCGAAATAATTCCTTCATGTCATGCTCTATGCTCATTTTAACATGGGTAGGCATTATATTTGACCACATTTTACACCTCGCTAACGCTCAGTGTAAAATATCGACAAATATAATGCCTACCCATGTTAAAATGAGCATAGAGCATGACATGAAGGACCCCCCAAGGGTGACTGGGGAATAGAAGTATGGTCACCATTGGTCTTCCTCCGACCGGCAGTAAAACCCTTGCTAAAGTGGGGCGTCCGTTTGGCTGTGCGGGATGTACAAATTTGCAGCCACGTCCGGTCAGAATGGGAACGTTAAATCCGATGCCTCGTGTAAAGAGAGTGCCACGCTCTTTGCACGTTAAGAACCCTTGCAACAACTCTTTGAGGGGTCCGTAGGTGACCTGTTGCAAGGCTAAATTTCTGTCCCTATCCAATATACCCTCATTTCCCGTGGCAGTCTAAATTTCTCCGACCTTAATCCCGGACGCCCCCTTTACAGAACCTACCTATTGTATTTATTGTTAATTTGTTCTCGTCCTGAATATGCATGAAATATTTGCCACTGGACGTTAAGCAACCAACAATCAATCAATCAATGACATGAAGGAATTATTTCTTAAATGATATTTTGAGTTGAATTGTGCTAATGAAATAATTTGGCGGCGCATTTCAAAATGGTTGCCATTTTACAGCAGAGTTTCAACTTGGTTTGATTTCAATGAAATTGGGTTTAACTTTAAATAGGACCATCGTATGCTGGGTTGATATAGTTTCATCATTTTATGCTCACATGACATGTCCTTTTAACCTTTCTATCTATTTGCAGGATTAAACCCAGCTAGATCTTATGAATCATTAAAGAAGACTTGTACAGAATGCTCTCTTGCTGCCCCTAACCGAATAACAAGCGTTTCCATGAGGAAGTACACTGCTACTCTCACTCAGGTAGGTATATGTTGTGTACAAGTTATCATTTTGTACAAATTATAATTTGTACAAAAATATTGTACAAAATAATAATTTGTATTTTGACTTTGTACGAATTGTAAATTTTACAAAATGTGCTTGTACAAATTAAAATTTGTACAAAATAGGACAAAAATTCACTTATAACTTGTACAATAATTTTTCATATGGATTTTGGCGAAAAAAGCATTGATACACATTATTGAATTGCTACTAAATGACCAGACAGTACACCTACAATGTGTAAGTTACAAAATTTAAAAGTAGTTCTTTATCATTCGTTTGAGCAGGTGATCTGGTGATTTATGGAATCAGGTATTGCACACTATCTTTCATACCTGTCAACTGACCCGTATTCAGCGGGTGTGACCTGAGATTTTCACAATTCTGAGGGATCACCCGGGACACCCGCCGGGTCATTGAAATGACACGGGAATTCCAAAAATGACCCGATTTCACCTGTATTTCTTAGCCTTGAGATTGATTTCATAAGTAATATTCCTTTGAAATAGCGGCAAATTCGTAATTCTTCCATGAACAGGAAGTTCATCTAGCTATGTAAACTGTCAAATTAAGTGACCCATTAAGTGCATGGCTTCACTTGACAGCTTTGGTGTCAAACACACTGTTAATTAACACCAATTACCAAGC